CACTCCCCCACAAAAAACCGGGAAAGTCTGATTTTTCTCACGATTTGCCGCCTAATAAAATGGCGGGATCCGGAAATTTTGGCGGTTTAGCAAACACGTTAGAAATTCTTTGTTGCCGGTCTCGCGTCGTTCTTAACAGACGAAGGCGCATTCGCTTGGAGTGTCTGCGCATGGCAATGCCCGTAGCCTCTTGTGCGCATGCGTGGGGTCTCCGACGCCCCACCATCTTCTGGCATAGTCCATTGTTCCCTCGCTTTTCGGTGAGCGAGGTGCTCGGCTACTTTCAGTACGTGAAATTCCTCGGAAATCGCCGGGTATAAGAGCATAGACATTATAATACGCGGATCGTCAAACAAAACCGCCGGTGTTGACGACAAACGTGTAGAAAATCGAGGGAAATAACGTATTTAGTGAATCTTGCAGTGAGCTTGTGATAAGACAAAGGATGTTGGGTGGCATTTGGATTATTGGAAGTGTGTGACGATTTTCATTTGTCGTGATAAACTTTGAGGGCTTTGTTGTTGACCTTCAGCCTTTGTTTGAGGACATGGTGTCGTCTCGTGAGGCATCGAAGAAATTTATTGAGACTTTTGGTGACATCGGATGTGTTAGAAATTGTTTAGTAATTGTTGTTACTGGAAAAAAACAATATGGCGGTCAGCCCGTGGCTGGTGTTCGCCAAAAATTTCAAAAATTACGAAAAAAATTCCAAGGACTCGTTTTCAGTGCGCGGAATCTATTTTCGAGTTTAATAAAAGATTTTGTAGTGTTGGTGTGTTTCTTTTTTGGTGTTGTGTGATTTTTTTTTTGTGTTGTGAGTGTTTTTTTGGTGTTGTGAGTGCTTTTTTGGTGTTGTGAGTGCTTTTTTGGTGTGGTGCGAGGACTCATGGAGGATCGATGCGCTGCGAAAGGCCGACGACATCGAGGTAATTAAATTTCGATTAATGCTACTGTAATGCAATACTGATTAACTGTTTTTAATATTGAACATTTATTATTCCAGATCGCGTTGAAGAATCGAGAGATGAAAACAGAGCTCTTGTTTTCGTCCAACGCCGGTGAGTCATTTCAAATTTACCAATTCGTTCATTCTGCGATTTTCGGTTCTTATTCCCTGAGAAAAATCCAGCAGGCGAGCTGTGTTATTTTCTCTTTGTACGCTTCGAAAAATTGCGGATATTCTTCATGACTAATTGGTAGTTATTTCAAATTTACCAATTCGTTCATTCCGTCGATTTTCTCTCGTCAATCTTCGAATTTGTCAGTGGAGAGTGTTAATTTTTAATTTTTTCATTTTTTTTTAATTTTCAATTGAGAAATTTTCAAAAAAAAGTCACCACTCTCGCAATAATGGGAATTTCCGGGAGAAGTGAACAGATCTGAGTTACGTATCGAGCGTAGATTCGAAATAAAGAAGATTTGGCCCTCGTGGAGCGATTTTTAATTTTTTCATTTTTTCTTAAATTGTCACTTGAAAAATTTTCAAAAAAAATTCACCACTCTCGCAATAATGGGAATTCCCGGGAGAAGTGAACGGATCTGAGTTATGGAGCGCCCCGCGATTCATAATAAGCGTGAACTAGCCCTCGGGGCGGGATTTTTAATTTTTTTCACATTTTGACCAAGTGGCACTTGGAAAATTTCCAAAAAAAATTCACCATTCACGCAATAATGAAAATTCCAG